ATCCTCAGGTGATATCAATTTAACAACCAAATTTTATTTAATCTCTAGTTGGGGAGCACGATACTGTCCATTGAAACACTGGATTTAAGGTACAAGAATAACAGATTCGAAATCCGATTCATGTTGTTGTCATAGGAGAATTATTTCTTGAAAAATGTTTGAGATGTACAGCTCGGGTGAATGCTTTTGATAATGTTATGTTTTCTGAGCTAGATAGTTTAATGGTAGAACTCTCATTCTCTCTGGATGCAAAGTGCTGCTTCAAGATTGGTTTGCATCTGAACTATTGATAAGGAGTGTAGTGGTTTCAGTGTATCGACCGCTTCACTTATCTCAGAAGTCTCATCAGCTTGTGTGGGTTGGTGCCTGACGACATCTCGGCATGATACAGAAAGCCCGGTTGGCATTTCCTAGCTTGTGTCACTTGTAGTGTAGGTAAAGTGTCTGTCTGTTAACCAAATGGGTTATATACTGTGCAGCAATCCTCCCTGTTCTCCTTTATGGCTGTAGAACATGGTCTGCGAAAGAAGATACTGATAGGCTGAAGATTTCGAATCATAGATGTCTTCGTAGCATTTCTCGCGTTTCAAGGAACGCGTGTTAAATATTCTCATAGAAATATTAAAATATATAAATTCAGAAATGCTTCTTTGCAATTAATGCTTTACCATAGTTCTAAACATAAATATGATGTATGATATTCGGTTAGCTGCCAAACCAATTGAGCAATGTAATAATTTTCAATCATTGAGAAATATCTTTCTAAACTTAGTTCTATCTGTCAAAACTCAGATGGCAATTAGTTTGTTATCAAAACAGATATCCTGACTGCTGCTACTACCTTGACAAGTTAGTCGGACTTACTTATTGTGCTGACCTAGTCAAGTTAGATTAACTGGGACACGTTTCTTTAAGACCATGGATACCAGATAGATTAGCTAAAGAGCAGCAAAACCAGAAGCACCAAATTCATGGCCGAAGGACAAAGTTTTATCTGCAACTATACAAGGGTGTAACAGCCAGCATTTATAGCGATGCTGACTCTCCACAGAGAAAAGAAGTAGTTAGAGAAGGTTGGTGGAGGAAATATTACACCTCAACGTGTTCCATGGATTTCTGTTGCTGATGGTAAGGGCTTAAAATAACAGAGCTTATTTATCAAAAAGTACTCTCAAAGATTCTGTGTGTGTTGCCTAGCTCAAGCTGTTTTCCATCGGGCAGTGTGGCCATCTCCCAAGTTATTAAGACCACCAATGACTCGATTTTCTTTTCAGGTTCCTCAGTATAAAGCAATCTTCCACGGTGTAGGCAACCAGGAAGTGACACCCACCCTCATACCTCTAACAGCACTACTGACTAATTTGAAAAACTAATCATTTAGGTATTATTGTAATAAACGCGAACTCAGGAGGGGAAAACCAATTTATTGTTTAGTGCAAAATTACAGTGTTCTTTGGTAAAATGTGAAAACCATACATTAAATACTTCATTTGCAAATTCTCCATCAATTATCACAAACTTCATCGTCTTTCATTGGTATTACAACTGCTCTCTGTTTACATTACCGCTCTCTTCTATTCGAATTTCTCAACCTACTGCTGCCAGGCATTCCACTTCTGATTGGTGTTACATACTACGTGTGTCGACAGACATAAGTAGCATACACCACAATGTAATAAGGAATCTAAACATGATTTTCTCAAGGTATCATTTTACTGACTAGCTAACAGTCAGGTCGAGATAGCCAGGATGAAGAAGAAGAACTCCATTTTATTGTAAGCGTACTCATATTTTAGCTATCACAGATAACACTAAATTTAGATGATATATTGTTAAGTAATCTACAACATTTTGGTTGGTACTAATATTATTTTTCACTTGTTTAACCTATACCATACTATTCTATAGAACTATGATCGTGTGAAGTTAATTAGAATGAGGGAAACAATCAAATCAGTGTCAGAATTGTTGAGAAAATCATTATGTAGTTGTTTCGTCATACTCTGGGCGTTTGCACCATTCTTGAATTTGTGTATCGGATAAATATCACACATTTCTTTGTCAAGAATAAAGAGAAACACTGAATTAAGATCTTAAATTCATTTTATATGTATTTGACAAAAGATGTGATCCTAAGTTTTTAGCTCCAATATCATTTCAAACTTATATTTCTCGAATTTATTCTCTTTTCCAACCATATTCAACATTTATTCTTTTTCACTATATTGATACCATTATTATTTCGAATTTTTTAATATTCATCTGAATATTGTTTACCAATGACATAGAACCATGCCATTACATTTTAATTTCTTCTGTAAAAACTATTCAACTGATTGTAAGTTAACTAACTTTAATTCATTGTTATATCCTTAAATCCAATTCCACTACTTATCTTCAACGTTTCCAATGTTGAATAGCTGTTTTTTACCCATCACTTTCGGCCACTTTTCAATCCATTTGATGTGTGAGTGCTATATAATGGAGTGCAATGTTCACTAAATACTTCATTTCAAACTTCTGGAGTTAACCACAACTGTCTGCTATGTACGTGTTAGTATAGCTCACACCAATCAATTGAATGAAAAGTACAAATATATATTAAAGCTAGTGATTTGAATAATATCTCTGATGAAAATTATGCTCTAATATCTAGTGGTTAATCACCTACTATTGAATAGGAAAATAGCTGACCTATCGAACACTGGGAACGTTGTGAGCGATCTCAGCTATTCTCTGGTACATATTTACTACTTAATATATTAGCTACCAGACAAAATAAGAATAACAGAGAAGTATTTTTTCAGGTGTATTAAATAATTCAATAAAATATTAACAAATGAAAGTAAATAATCATTGCTCTGTCAATAGTAAGTGGCTTCAATTAATAATTACTTTTCAGCCTTATTGCATAGAAAGATCAAGAAAATTTCATATTGTAACACATCAAATTTCATTGATCCTTTTCACCTCATGATCTCTCTCACTCGCTCTTAGTTTCATTCTAATCTTACTATGTGCGCATGCGTACACATGATTATATGTATTGTTAAATAGTATACATATGTTGTAAACGTGACCTAATAATTTTAACTAGTTTTGTTGGTTGGTTGGTTGGATTGCAGTTACACACGTGTCTAAAAGCCTTAAAATCACTGGTCTGATATTGATCGTGATAGTATATATATATAAAGTTGATAAGTGTTTTCGAAATTACACCAGTATTCCTTTGTGTTAACTAAAACAATTGTGTTCTAATGACTTATTTTACTCTTGATCATTGTTTTTTACTCCAATAGTTTTAATTACAATGTGGATTGTTGGAATTGTTCCATTCAGATAATTATAGCTTCATCCCATTGTGTGGCTATGTGTGTTGGGAAGAAATCTGAACAGTTCGAACCCCCAGTATATCTTTTAAAATCGATCACCTAGTTAGTCTTGTAAATCTTCATACAGTTGGTATATAGTATTTGGCATAGTGTAGGAACATATAATTAATTGTCAAGTTGCGTTGTGTTGGAATATTGGTTCGTTTTCACTAAAATTAGCTTACAGATGTGTTTTTTTTCAGAACATTAAATCTTTTATCGATTAAACTATTATAAGAGCTAAGAATGGAGTTCAAGTGGGACACTCCTGATTTATGAAGATAAAAATATCAGTAATGAGTTCTTTACTCAATTATGATACGAAATGAAAATCGTGCTATATTATCGATCTATTAAGTTTGAAACTATAACTTACTGAATTTCAATTCATTAACTTGAAACTATCATGTTTGTCTTGTGAGATTTAAAGTCTATCAGTTGAATCACATGTGTTGACATTTCTGTAAATATTGATTTCAATCTAGGGAGAAAGAGAATTGTTCATTGTTCCCTATGTATCTAATGCTTTTTTTCAGCCAAAATTATCTCGTGATGAAAAAAATGCTTCCAATTTATATAAGCTGTTATTGTTTTTCTGTACTATCCAATAAGATTTATCCTTATATATATACTATGCACTTTAAGAACTCATTTTGTCCGAAAATCATAGAAATCACGCGCTACTTTTCTCTATCTGAATTTGTATGTATGTGCTTTTCTCTCTACTTAGTTTCTTGATTTGTTTCATGGAATATATATATATATATATAGTATGTTATTACTTGTCCATTTTTAATGGTTCATATTTAGATAATTTAATTAGAAATGATATATACGGATGACATCACGTTTCATACTAACTCTACAATTTATAACTAACATAGTTTATAAATAAATAACATATTTGTAATATCCCAATAAGTAGAAAATTAGATTTTCTGACGTTTCGTGACTTAGTGTAAGTCACTTCTTCAGAGAATAAATAACCAAATTAAAATTAATCCAAGTTTAAATAGTACAACGGAACAAATCATTTGCATATCTTCGATCATTCTTCCTATCCATTTGTTATTCTGATTGCTGTTCTGCTAGTAAGCATCCCAATTCCAATCCCTACTAAGTACTACTTATGTCTGTTCATGTAAGTAGTTCACAACACACTAGTATGGTTTTTAGGCTATTATTAGTGCGTGATGAAAGCAAATTTCAGATTAAACTACTTTCCACAAATTACTTATTTATTTACACCTGTTACCCCTTGTGGAGGGGCATAGACTGCCCACCAGCATTCTCCGTCGAACTCTGTCCTAGGCAATCCTTGTCAGCTGCTATTCATCCTTTTGATGTCTGTTTCCAATTCTCGTCGCAATGTGTTCGCTGGTCTTCCTCTCCGTTTACATTCAGGATTCCAAGTTAGGGCTTGCCCCGTGGTTTGACAATTTCCTCAATGTATGTCCTATCCACTTCCATCCTCTTTTCCTAATTTCTTCTTTAGCTGGATTCCACAAATTAATTAACTTAAAAATTTCTTTAAAATAGATATGCTCCACATAGAAAGTAATCTATAAATAATCAATTTCCTCATCACTACTCACGCTTTTTTATTTGTTTTTTTTAATTTCTCTTTAGATAACTCACCTAATTCATGTCATGAATATGATACGTTACTTATGCTTCCTTCCTCATCATCATCTTCTACATCATCAATTGGATACATCAATAATCATTGTAATTCCATGTGTTCAAGTCCTACAGAAATGGATTTCTTAAATTCATCCACTTCTTCATATGCTAATAATTGTAACAATAATAATAATATTAATAATTGTTATAGTACAATATCTCCTATTGAATGTTCTTCATCATCGTCAAATAGTTCTTGTTGTTCATTTAAATCACAACAATGCTACAATTGTATAAACTCAATTCAGGTGAATAATCATTTAAATAATGATAATGTATCATCAAAATCTTCTAATAATTCTACAACTACTGCTATTAGTAGTAGTAATAGTAGGGCTACTACTATTACTAATTCCGTTGATACTATTGCTCCAGATAGTACTGTTATTATTTCTACTTCTAATCCATATGTGAAACTGTTTACAAGTTCAAATAGTTCACTTATTGATCATCAAACTCAACCACATATTTCATCATTATCAATGAGAACTAGTAAACCTGTATGGCAAATGAAATTCACACGTAAACAGTATGTTTATAATCGTACAATTGTAAATAGCAGTTCTTCCATTGCATCATTAACACGGTCTCGTCAATTGCATCATCATCATCAAAACAACCACTACCATCAACAACAATTACATCATTATTATCATCAATCTAAACGTCGTTTCTCTTCCTTATCAAAGAAATCATTTCCTGTAAATAATAATCATATTGATCAAATCTATAATTCACATCCAATTTCAATGCATTATGATTATTCTCTTAGTAATAGTGATATAGTACAGCAATTACCATCTAATCAAACTGTTACGTCATCTCAAGGACAAACTGTTCAATATCCTACTCATGATTTATTATCCACTTATACATTTCAGTTATCTCCATCAATTTCAAATAATCAAAGAGAAAAGTTATTCTATAATAATAATAATAATACTATCGACAATAAGAATGTTGAGGGTACTGTAAATATTCTAGAAAGTGAAGAAAATAGTCTTATGTATACACCTGTTCCAATGAGAAAAGAACATAATGAATCATCGTCCATTCGACCGTCATCATCATCATTATCTTCATTTTCAATAACACCAACACTAACTAGCAATAGTACTACTAATTCTGTAACATGTAAAAACCAATCTAAAACTAATTCAATCCATCATTCTATAAATATATCTAATCCTGTTCATAAACGTTTGCATTTGTTACAATTTATTAGTAAACTTTTACAATATTCTTCTGATTCATCAACATCATCTTTAACGAATTCCACAAATTCATTGTCATTGTCATCATCATCATCCTCTGCATTCCTTTCATCATTATTTCCTACAACATCTACAAGTTCATTTTGTTCAATTAATCAACAACCGGATGAATTTATACTACATTTATTCAATCCTAATTCACAATATCTTAATTGTGTTCAATGGATTGATAAACAAGCACGTATTTTTCAAATAAGAAATCCACAAAAGTTATCACAATTATGGGGATATTATCGTAAAAATGTCAATATGACTTTTGAGTCGGTTAGTCGTAGTTTAAGGTAAGTTATTATTTAGTTTAGTTCAAGATTAGATTGTTCTCAACGTCGTAAATGTTATATTTTCTGTTGTATTCATCACTTTCGACGACTTTTCCGCTCATATACTGTGCTGTGTTTACTTACTTACGCCTGTTACTCCTAATGGAGCATAGGCCGCAGACCAGCATTCTCCAACCCACTCTGTCCTGGGCCTTCCTTTCCAGCTCTATCCAATTTTTGTTCATTCTTCTCATATCTATCTACATTTCTCGTTGTAATGTGTTCTTTGGTCTTCCTTTTCGCCTCATTTGGCCTTCAGGATCCCATGTGAGGGCTTGTCTTGTGACGCAGTTCGGTGCCTTCCTCAATGTGTGTCCTATCCACTTCCAGCGCTTCTTCCTGATTTATTCCTCCACTGGGATCTGGTTTGTTCTCTCCCACAGTACGTTGTTGCTAATAGTGTCCGGCCAACGGATCCGAAGTATTTTGCGTAGACAACTGTTAATAAACACCTGTATTTTCTGGATGATGACTTTCGTAGTTCTCCGGGTTTCCGCCCCATACAGTAGAACCGTTCTGAAATTTGTATTTAAAATCCTGACTTTTGTGGTGGTTGACAGTTGCTTTGAGTTCCAGATGTTCCTCAGTTGTAAATATGCTGCTCTTGCTTTGCCGATCCGCGCCTTCACATCTGCATCAGATCCACCGTGTTCATCAATGATGCTGCCCAAATACGTAAAGGTTTTGACATCTTCCAAATCTTCTCCGTCGGTTTTGATTGGGTTGGTGCATTCTGTGTTGTACCGAGGAATCTTGGTTTTCCCTTTGTGTATATTGAGACCTACTGTTGCTGAGGCTGCTGCTACACTGTTCGTTTTCTCCTGCATTTGTTGTCGCGTTTGGGATAGAAGGGCCAGATCATCTGCGAAGTCTAGATCGTCCAACTGCATCTTAGATGTCCACTGTATCCCGTGTTTCCCTTCAGATGTTGACGTCTTCATGATCCAGTCGATCACCAAGAGAAAGGATGAGAGTAAGCAACCTTGCCTAACACCGGTCTTCACTTTGAACGACTTTGTCAACTGTCCTCCATGCACGTTTTTGCAGTGTAATCCATCATATGAACTCTGTATGATATTGACTATCTTCTGAGGCACGCCGTAGTGTCGAAGAAGTTTCCATAGTGTTGTTTTGTCTGCGCTGTCAAATGCCTTTTCGTAGTCAATGAAGTTGATATAGAGTGATGAGTTCCATTCAATTGATTGTTCCACAATGATCCGTAGAGTTGCGATTTGGTCTGTTCACGATCTATTCTTAAGTAATCCTGCCTGTTGGTCACGAAGTTGGGCATCTACGCAGTCCTTCATCCTGTTTAACAATACCCTGTTGAAGATTTTCCCCGGTATTTAGAGAAGAGTGATGCCCCTGGAGTTATCAAAGTTGCTGAGATCTCCTTTCTTTGGTATTTTGACCAGAAGTCCTTCTTCCCGGTCTTTTGGTACTTGTTCCTCATCCCAAATCTTATTGAAGAGAATGTGGAGTATCCTTGCAGTTGCATAGTGTGATCCGGTGAAGTTCATGTGGTTTTGTATATGCGTTTATGTGGGAATATGGTGCCGCCTATGACCAGTTTACTGAAGGCACATAGGTTTGCAAATCTCTCACCATTTTCGTTCCTTTCTCCCAGTCCGTGTCGTCCCATGATGTCTTCTTATCCAGTGTTGTCCGTTCCAACCTTGGCATTGAAATCTCCCATCAGAATGGTGAGATCCTCTGTTAGGCACTTCTGGATTATTGACTGCAGCCTGTCGTAGAATTGATCTTTAGCGTCTTCATTGTAGTCGTTGGTAGGCGCATAGCATTGGATGATGTTCATTGAAATGCCCTCTTTCTTTGTTTTGAAGGAGGCTTTGATGGTCCTTGGTCCATGGGATTCCCATCCTATCAGTGCATTTTGTGCCTATTTGGACAGCATCAATGCAACTCCTTGTGTGTGTGGAGTATTTTCTTCTTCATGCCCGGAGTATAGCAGAAGCTCTCCTGAAGATAGTCGTTGTTGTCCAACTTGCGTCCAATGTGTTTCACTGATCCCAAGTACCTCTAGGTTGTAACTTCTCATTTCTGCAGCGATTTGGAAGGCTCTCCCGGTGTCCCACATTGTACGAACATTCGATGTACCTAAATAAATGGTTGGTCTGGTTGTCAGAAGGGGTATCGGCCTCGTAACTTCCGAAGGAATTCGGCTTTCATCATGAGGCGTCATAGTTCTTCTAAATGAAGACCTTCGGACTCCCGTGGCAGAGTTTAAAAGGTTTGAATAATTTTTTTTGGTTAGCGGTTTTTTAGCGAGTTAATTTTCTACGGGATGGGGTCGCTAACCCCATGCCCAACCCTTCTCCTTTATCCGGGCTTGGGACTGGCAGTAGCCCCTGGAGGGACTCCAGGAGGAGTTACTGTGCTGTGTGCTAGATATTGTTTAGTTTTCAATTGGTTGATTAGTGATTAATGTTATATTTGTCTAATCGTTTAGTATTGGTCGAATTTTATTAAGTTGTAATGTTATGTTTAGTCGAAATGACTGCACATTATGTTTTGATGTCCGGTGGTTAAAAGTAAACGACAGGAAACTCGAGTCAGGATTTGTACCACATTGCACTCGTCAGAAAAATGTCTGAAAATCGAGGAAACTGATGCTCTCTGTTGAACTTAAACCTGGATTACCTAAGTTTATAAACTAATCAATTAAAAACATCTGACTTCTACAGGTCAGTTGCGTCCAAAATTGCTCAGTTATAATATCTCGAACTTTGATGCGAGTTAGATTCTATCAGGAATATCAGTTCGCTCACGATGACAGTCACACCTTACTGATAAATTCCAAGTACCACAAAACTCTAGATCCAAGGTTTTCTATTGGCTGCCTTCAACCACTAACTGATATCTCAAAAGAGTGTAATTTTCATTAATGATTCCATTTTATATGTACTTTTTTCTAACATATTGGTTCGCGTTACAATAACGTGTTTATAACAGACAATTGCGTATAATTCCAAACGCCTGAAATGAATGAAATCTTTCCTGAAAATTGTACTTCATTATTCAGAACACCCCTACCAAATAAATAGAAAAATGAGCAAAACTACTAAATATAACACATGTTAAACATTCAAAATATTTGAGACGATGGAAAAGATTTGTAGCTCAGGTGGATGATTTTGATGAAGGTTTGTTCTCTAAGCTGGATGATTTGGTCGTGAGGCTTTCGTCGTTATTCTGAATGACATCATCAGCACAAACTTCAGGTAGAATTGAAGTGTTCGAATTTCTTCGCATATGGCTCACAGAAGTAAACAATGACAAGTTAAAGGTCAACAATAACCAATCAACATCGAGGTCTACAGGACAAGCTGTGAGCCATATGTGGAGAAATTCGAACACTTCAATTCTACCTGAAGTTTGTGCTGATGATGTCATCCAAAATAATGACGAAAGCTTCACGACCAAATCATCCAGCTCAGAGAACAAAACTCCATCGAAATTCAAAGCATTGTGAACAACTCTTGTCATTTTCTCTTTTTTAAGTAACTTCTAGTAATCATCAACCATTGACTTTATTCAATTTCACCACTGTCTCTGTGTTTGTGTCTGTTTATTTCACATTATATAGATTGTATTATGTCTCTGGGAAATTAGAACGTATTCGTGGTCAACGTAATCAATATCGTTTTTTAGACGTAAATGCTTAAATTACACAATTACATAATATTCATTTATGATTTTTTTCCTCGCTAAATTACAACATCCCGTCTTCTGCACTATCATTTTCTTTATTTACCCTTTTTTACTTTTCTCTCGTGTTTTTGTTAAAAATTTTCTAGAACTATTTTTAATGAGAAAAAGATTAGCATATAAAATTTTAAGAAGCAACCTACTTTGTATATTTTCATTTATGATCTGTGTTACATTGCTTTGTCTGTTGGATTATCACTATTATTGTTATTATTATTATCGTAACTATTCCTGTTGGGGTGGCCTATAGCTCTTCCACTAGGAGTAACAGGCTTAAATGAGTATTTTAACTATAATTATCATATAATTCTTGTATGGATACACGCACATATTCTGCCAGTTCACGTAACACATACACATTAAAATTCTTCTTTACAACTTTATTATATGAAATTGTCTTTCTTATTGATTTCACTCAGATAAAATGAAATAAGTATTGAATATTGTTTTCTATTATTTCCATTGTTACTATCATTCTTTCTTATGATTCTTTTCTTTGTCTTTCGTTTATTCAATATTATAAACGTCCATAGTGATGATATTAGTTGTTAAGTTGTTTTGTCTATTATTATTATTATTATTATTATTATTATTATTATTATTATTTCAAAGTACACAATAATTTCCACCCCTTTCTTTGTCTTTCCATCAATTCTATTTACTATATTTAAACAAAGATAAACCTCTGCCTTAGTAACAAGAATTAATTAAAAGAGAAAAACAATTTTTTTTAAAAAAAAAAGAAAGAAAAGAAAATCTGACAATGTATTTTCATCTTGATTCATATTTCTACTCTTTTTTTTTCCTTTCTAATTTCATAGTGAAAGTAAGGCAAACAAATTCAATATTCAAGATTTTAGTCAAATAAATAAAATGAATGATAATTTTAAAAATAGTAGTCAATTTTATTTTTCTTGCCAAATATATAAATATACATATTTAAATTTCTATTAATTTGTGAAAAGAAGAAAAAAGTAAAGTAAACAAAAATTACTTTGCAGATTATTTTGTTTATTTATTTATTTATTTACTTCTCTGTTTATTTATGATCAATGTGATATTTCCTTGTTAATTGATTAATTCTAATTGGTTTGTTTGTTTTTCTTTCGAATTGATTCATTCAATATTGAAGTGTTTTACTCGTTTACTTCGTTTTCTTTGTTTTTCCCTCCAGAGAAATTAGGCGGAAGGAACAAAAAAAGAAGCAATAATTATTATCGTTATTTTTTTCTTTCTTTTTATTAGTTGTATCTTTCAGTAGATAGATATCCTCAGTCAGAGCAGCATTTTTCCCCTCCCCTTGGCTCCACGTTTAAAAAATCATGTCTATTACGAATAAGTATGATATTTTTTTTTACAGTTATCGATCTTGTTTGTTTGGCTTATATATTTATATAAATAAAGTATTAAATTACCCTCTTCAAAAACAGATATTTCAATTGATCAATTGACGATGATGATGAGTTTGTAAAGCAAACGTATATATTGGACAATGTTTTGTCATCCCTCCCCATCCTAGTCGGTTACGTTCTTCCTAAATTCTCCTTTTATTGTTGTCAATGGTGGTAGTTACTTTTATTGTAATAAATTCATCTTCAACTATTTCATTTTTTACTGAATACATGTTTGTTATTCTTCTCATTCTTATTTATTTATCCGTTTTTTTTAAAATAATTTTTATTCAGGAAAAATCTAGACTTTCCATGACTATCTACTTACATACCTTTAATATCTGCCATAAAATTATTTGTTTTGTTTTACTTAGTCATATATTTAATTCTATTGATCATTGTTAGATAATAGTTTGACTTCAACTTTTCTTTTTTCTTCGTTAAATCACTTTGATTTGAATGTATCTTATCATGGGTGGATTGTGTTTGTTATGTTTTTTTTTCTGTATGAAAATGATACTAATACTACTATTACTATTGTCAATAGTAATAATATTAGTAATTATTTTCTTTTAATTATGGCCAATGCCTTCCCCCCCCCGGCCTTATTGTGCTTTCAGTCCTTTTTTTTGGTCGATTTTTTTTATCGCCCCCTTTTTGTCGATAACCTATTATTATTATTACTGTAATTCAGAATGATTAGTGTTTATTTATTTATTTTTAGTGAAATTTATTTTTTTATGAAGGAGAAGATAAAATACAAAAAAAATCAGATAAAAAATTTTTTTCTCAAATTATAATTTTCTGTGTTTTTTTTTCATTTGTTACTTTGAAAAATGAGATAATCAGGTATCATTGTACAATTGAATGAATTACTGTCATAAAAGTGAAACAAAAATTCAAAGAGATTAATTCTATTTCAATGTGTTTATGAATGTAAGATTTTTTATTTATGTTATAACTTATGATCGCCGATTTGAGAACATTGACTTATCGATCGGATCAATGACGCGTAAATCCGTATGAGCAGCCTAGAGTTTTGATTGACCTTGCTTCCAGTCTAGCCCAGTCAGTTACGTCCAGAACACAAGTCTCAGTCTCTACGATATGAATCATTATATTTCAAACATACTCTGTTTACATACCAATCAAGTAGACCACATCGTACCATAAAATAGAAAATAACATTTGTAAAATATTTGGCCAATAGGAAAATGATACCATTTCAAGTCGAAGGATAGTATTAGACTTAACAGGATAATTTTTTGAGATATTTTTCTGAATATCCCAACAATTTACTGACTTCAATTAAGTTAGATTTGATCCAAAAGATTAATATCATACTCATTAATATCATTGTGACCTTTAATCTGATTTCAGTTAGATCATTTTTGATTGTTATCGGAATATACATCCTGGCAATTGTCGTTTATAATCATCGACTTAACTTTTATCAGTGATTAACAAAATTAAATAAGTCAGATACGAGAATGAAATTTGAATACGTATATTTCATACAATCATTGATCCAGACAAACGACTGAATAGAGAGAAGCGAAATGACGCGTAATGCAGAAGGTATATAAGCCAATTTGTTATAATCAAGCGTCAATCGATATTTATAGTCAGACGAAAATAAATTACAGACATGTAATGAATAAAATAAGGAATGCACACACATACGCTTACATAAAAATAGTTAAGTTTGATGAGTGAATAATTGACAAGATCGAAATGTGACTCAAGAAGAATGAATAAATTGGCTTGTTCTGAAGCCAGAATAAACTACATGAGCTTAATACAGCAACCGACACTACATCATCATATAGAAATTATTCACTTACATCGCATGCATTCCGACCGGTAAATAACGTGGTGTCATGCCTAGAGTCGTTCAAGGTAATCTGTATAGTATAAAATAATTCCACTGCATTTGGTCTTCAACAATTAGATCAGAGGCTCTAACTTCGCAATACCTATTGAAGTTTGAGTATCTGAGTATTATCACTTGATCCACACAAGATATGTCTCAAAGCTGTAGTTGGTACTAATAATTTACGTCATAATGTTTTCTAATGTTCGTAGTAAGCTAAATACTGATTTCTTTGTCATTGTGGATTTGTTTATTTTACTCAGAAAAAGAATGTACAATTTTTCTAGTCAAATTTGTTTCAATGGTATTTCTATCCTAATTGGTTATTATTTCTTAGCTTGTAGGGTTTATTAACTGAGAAGTCTTTTCCGTAAAATCTGCAGTGTAATAACTAGAATACATATATGGATAACCGTTTTCAGTTTAACAAGTTATGAATAATATCAGTGAACAAACAATCATGTGTAATATTCCAGTTTCAAGTGTATCCTAGTCACTTCGCTTATGGGAATAATCATACCAAATGAATCGATTTCCAACATTGGCACTAATTTCGATCTGTGTCATTTAAGCTACTTAACAGCAAATCAGTTGTTATTTCATAGATTCCAATTAAAAATTCTATTTATCCAGAGAAGGTTTAGACTAATAGTCAGCTATTTCAAAGACTGGTACTAGTCTTAGTTCGGTCACCTCTAAACGTCTTTCAACTTTTATACTGACCAGAATTGTACATCGGCGTAGGTGGCAGCTAGTTATGTTTAGTACAAGTTCTAGCTGAGTCAATCGTTGACAGTTTCGAAACTTACCAATCGATTCGCTATTTCTATTCTATACTCTACGCCTAGACTCAAATCTACTCACTGCTTTTTCATTGTACTTGAACAACTCATCAAGGATATATGTAACTAAATATGGGGAACCCGCTCATTTTTTCAACCTTCATGGGCTATTTCATAATAATTTAATGAAAATCAAAGTTCTGAACAGCTTACTCATCCTTTTGTACAAACATGCATTTCTCATCTGTACGCCATGGATAAATCATAAATGGTGGAACTTCCAAAGGCAAGTTATCAATACACTCGACAGCTTTGGACTCTGATTAGACCAGAGTGACACGGATGGGTCATTCTTGCATCTAGCGGAGAAGGGATTTGTCTGGACGCTTTCATATTCTTTGAAATTCATTTCATGAGACTTTTTGATGGACTATTGTTATGATTCAGTAAGAATCTAATGACCAAGCCTTCTGCCATAGTATAAAAAAGGGCTGATATTTCTACATGTATATTTTTACTCTGACATTAATGAATAGGACAAAATACTATGATTAGTTATGTATCGTAATCAATGACACATGGTTTTTTCTCTGTGTTAAATCTAAGATAACTTACTTACACCTGTTACTCCTTGTGAAGGAGAATAGGCCGCTCACCAGCATACTCTATCCAACCCTGTCTGGGTAATCCTTTCCAGCTCATTCCAGTTGTTATTCATCCTTTTCATATCTGATTCCATTTTCCGACGTAATGTGTTCTATGGCCTTCCTCTTTTCCGCTTCCTTTCAGGATTCCAAGTTAGGGTTTGCCTCGATGCATTCTAATGATTTGCGTAATGTATGTACTATCCATTTCCATCGTCTTTTCCTGATTTCCTCTTCAGCTGGAAGCTGGTTTGTTCTCTCCCACATAAGGCTGTTACTGATGATATCCGGTCAATGTATGTTGAGTATCTTGCGTAGACAGCTATTTATAAATACTTCTACCTTCTTGATGATGGTTGATGAAGTTCTCCAAGTTTCAGCTCCATACAGTAGAACTGCCTTGATGTTCGTATTGAAGGTTCTCACTTTGATATTTGCTGACAATTGTTTTGAGTTCCATATGTTCTTCAATTGAAGGAATGCGGCCCCTGCCTCGTCGATTCCCCCATTTACTTCTTCATCAGATCCACACTGTTCATCGACAATGCTCCCAGGTATGTGAAGGATTCTACATCCTCCAGAGTTTCGTCATCAAGAGTGATTGGATTGCTGTTCTCCGCTTTGAATTTGAGTACCTTGGTTTTCCCTTTGTGTATACTGAGGCCTACTGATGCAGAGACTGCTGCTACACTGGCTGTCTTTATCTGCATTTGTTCGTGTGTATGCGATAGGAGGACTAGGTCATCTGCGAAGTCCAATTCGTCTAGTCGGTTCTGAGCTGTCCATTGTATGCCGTGTTTTTCCTCAGGTGTTAAGGTCTTCGTAATCCAGTCGACCACCAGAAGAAAGAGGAAGGGGAGAGTAAACAGCCTTGTCTGACTCCGGTCATTACTTGGAATGCATCTGTCAGCTGTCCTCCATGCACTACTTTGCACTGTAGTCCGTCGTATGAGTTCCGGATAATATTGACAATCTTCTCAGGAACTCCATAGTGTCGAAGAAGTTTCCCTAACGTTCTCCTATCTACACTGTCAAACGCCTTTTCATAATCGATGAAGTTGATGTACAGTGACGAGTTCCACTCAACTGATTGTTCGACGATGATCCATGGTGTCGAAATCTGGTCTGTGCACGACCTATCTTTACGGAATCCAGTCTGTAAGATGCAAGATAACTTTTTCTTTTATTCAAATTTGTTCACTTCTATTAGGTAACTAATCAATTAAGAACCCTAACATACGCAGATGATAACATAGATAATTCTAATGTTAACTAAGATGCTAAGATGCACATACAATAAGGTCAGCAAAATAATGTAAATTTCATAATAAATTATGTAGTCGATAAGAATAGGAATTTACATGTAAATGAGCTGATCATAGCTATCGAATTTCTAATAATGCAGACTTTGAAGTATAATTCTTATGAATGCAATTCTTTGTTTACCCACTCAATTACACCGTAAGATTACAGCGTACGCTAATGACGACTTCACTTTAGGCTAATCTGACCAAAGACCTTCCCTAAATAACTTGAATGATTGGTAATAGTGGCCAGATATCCTGATTTTTATTAGTTCACTCATCTCTCTATCTTTATTGGCCAGTCAGAACACGAAGATACTGGTATGGTGTGTGTTCCAGCCAGATTGGTTGGTAAAGCCTTTTCTATTGATGCCTCGGCAGACCCTTCTGAAATGGATTCCGTGTTTTCAAGGCTCACAAAACCACCACGTGGATGTGATCTTATGGGGAACCGCTACCCCGCAGGTCTTTGCGTGTATCTCGGCATCATAATAAGACCGAGTAAAACATTTTTTGGTTATTAATTACCCTGGATATGTATAGTCTACATTAATACTAGGTAACACACGGACTTTCATCTGAGTATTCCATGGCACACATTCAGGTATATATACACTGTGAGCAAATAGTTCAGTACTATGAAGAATCAGGCCACTAATACTCTCTATTTTCTCAAATGATATAAATCTATAATGAAAAGTAACTTTAATATTGAACAATCCGTGCAAACCCCTTATCTTGATAATACAATCACCAAAAGAAATTTTTGAAACAATAAGTTGTTTCATTTGTATCTTGAGTATAGTTTTAATATCATATTCAAAACATGTGTTAATCAACGAAAAATTATTTAATGTGAATTTATGCAAGACATACTTATGTTAAAGTATCACTAGGAAAAGAACTATATGAACAACCTATATATCAAAATATGGATTAGCTGAATGATTAAAGTTTATTAAGTGCTTAAGCATAATATTAATAATCGGTTTCCTCTCATTCTTGTAGAATCACTTTGGAATATGTCCTTGTATTAGTGTCGAAAGCAAGTTCTGGTTATGGCCTATGTAACTTTTTTATAAAATCAAATTGAGATTAACATTCGCAAGCAGATATCGTTTACACGTCTCCATAAAGAATAAGCTCCCTCTTATGACTCCATCCATATAGATTTACCAGTTAACATGATTTTGTAAATCAAACTGAATAGGATGTAGCCAGCTCCTGCTTTCAATACGGATTCAAATACATTTCAGAAAAAAGAATTAAGCAATATAAATCGCTGTGATAGAACTATTTTATACAGATTAGAGATTACAAAGATTCATAGAATGAATGAATGCCATGTTCAGTGTTCTTTACAAACAATCAAGTGTTTTATCTATACAGGTTGCAACTATTCTAAGA